AAATGCCACTAGACATTTTCAAGGTGTATTGTAAGCTTTTGAGGCACTTAAGTGCTTTTGAAAGGCTTACCTACACCTCTGACAAGTCAATGATCTACTTAATCTTGTTAAAGTATTAATCACAATATTTTGATTTAATCACTTCCAAAAGTCTATCTTCTTCTTGCTTGCTAGAAACACATGACTGAAAACTACAAAGGATGCACACAAAGCAACTGCTACATTAAAGACTCTCTTGCTAAATTATCATTACATTCATTATTAATGAGCAAGCAAAAGCACAAGATTTCCTTTGAAGATTATTGACACTGGCAAAATACCAAACAACTAGCATTTCATTTGCTTGATAAAACTGCTTGCTATCAGCTGGTAAACAAGCAGAATTTGGTAAAGGTTAGCACACACAACCTGGGCAGTGACCGCATGCAATATTCCAAATGATACCTAAATAGATTTTTGGTCTATGCCAATAAGTTACTTTACATATTCCTAAACTACTGCCAATGTATTTGATAGCCTCAAATTGTAAATCCCAGAGAAAATTCCTCATTAACACTCAGCCTTGTCATTTAAAAAACACAGGACTGACCTGCAGCCAGAAGCAGAAGCTTTTACTCCGAAAAATTGCTACCATGATATTCAGGAACTTTACTGTTCTTTGACAAAAAAGGAGGTTTAGATGATTGTTTCTCAGTATGTGCTCCATATGATACCGTCAGACAGCACAATGCAATCAGCAAAACAATCAACAAACTTTTTAATCATGCATATGTATTCTACGCCATCAAGCAAGCAACCTGGCCAAAAGGGGAAGGTAAAGGGTTATAGGGTTATAAAAGAATTCTCAAATTGAAGCTATGACTTTTCTTCAGAAAAATCAGATGGCCTATCAGAGAAAAAAGCTTAAAATTACTGATTTTGCTGAATGTGGAAATATTTTGTCTAAGGAAAGCTGTAAACATTTTTAAAAATTAAAATATTTTTAAATGTTAAAAAATAGTTCTTTACATCACATTTTTTTGAAAAGACAAAATGGGCATGCATGCCCCTCAATTTGCAAGAGGGAAAAGATGTATAGCTGCTGAACTTTTTTACTATGAGATGTATATCAGAGGACATAACATAAAATAATTTGTATTCTAAGGCAACAACAATGTACTTTGTGTATTTTTACATTGTCTTTTTGAGGTCTTTGATGTTTAATGCCTGTCAAAATGGTGCCTTATTAACTTAATTATGTTTTCAATTTTCTTGCATGATAGCACTTTGATATGCCAGCCTTCTAAGATAACGCCTATGTTCTGCAGTGATATGCTCAGGGACTTCAACTTTCCCAGGAGTCATAAAGATTTTAATGGTGTATCTAGCTGTCAGTTTATATTCAGATCTCCCCATAGTTTACCATAGAGTGTCCTCAGTTCATATTTAGCTCACAAGCCCCACAATTTTCTTTTAGATATTCTAGTATGCCATCATGTGGTATTAATAAAGGTGAAAAACATCACCTTTTTGAGCAAATACAGTCTTTTATTAATAGTAAAGCTTTTAAAAACTCTGTGAGCAATTTCAAGATGCTTGCATTTTCCCCAAGCCAAAATGTAGCTCTGTTACGCGGTTTAATTAGAAGTGATGTTATGAAGCCAAGTTTGTAATTGGATTATCAGTCAAAGAAATAACTAAAATACCTCTACTTTATGACGAAACATTTCAGCGCTACCAAGAACTAAGGGTCTGCCGTAGTTATAAAATGGCTAACACGGAAGGGCATTAGATTCCTGAATATTTTTTGCATGTACTTCCTTTTCTCAAGCATCCTGCAAATCCAGTAAAAATTGATCAAAACAGCAGCCCCTTAGATACTAGAAGTTTTCTTTTACTCACAAAATAAGATCAGAGACCTGCTAGAGAAATGATTTTTATTTAAAATCAGAAAAAGTTGTATTTAGTGAATGGGTAGCTGTCATTTTCATTCTTCATTAGCAAAGCTACCAGGTTTTAATCAGATAAGCACAGGACAGAGCTCCTGAACACTAATCATAGCACTTTTATCAACTAAATAGGTGACTTTAGGCAAATGTTTTGCAGTTTCCTCACCTGCAAAATGGGAAAGATAGTAATAACCCTAGAGAGTGCATGAAGATTTATTTAGTAACAGTAAGTAGTACCTTGGCCTGTAGGTAAATTAGTGATCAACAAGTCACTTAGGGTCAGGTCGTTCAGGTTTTCCAAAAATCTGAACTTATTGTTTCTGAATTTCTTGTCATTCATATCCTTTTCTGAGCTGTCTCCTGGGTAGAGGTGAATCTTAATGGAAACACTTTCATGAAAATTCGCATGGTTTTGTCACTAGATCTTTGTAGATGTGTTGATGTGCCTTACAAAATATCAGTGACAGAAAATTATCCACGGAAGAGGAAGCAGAGGCAGGTTTCTCTGAAAATCTAGTAAGTTACTTATTTTCAAAAGTGCCTGGAAGTTAACTCCATGGCTAACTTCTGGAAGAATCTGTCCGGGTGCCCCTCATGCACCCTGACCCCTGCTGCAAACTTGCTGAATCACACAGGGCAATCAATCAATATAGAGCCAGCTATAAAGTGATACTTTATCACATCTTCATCCCACTGGTCATTAAGTCGTGATAACTGCTAATTCAAATGGAATCACCTACTAACTTGGGTCAGCTGAAGTGAAGAAAACTAGTTTTCTCATATATTTCTGTCAAGTATTGAAATTTGGCAAGTAGGAAATTTCACGATGCAGAACAAGGAAACTAAGGAGCTGCTTTCTAAGTCAAGGCTATCCAAGAGTAAGAAAGATTTAATATTTCTGAAGAGAAACTGTAGGCAGGAGATGGGCTTCTGTAAAAATCAGAGCAATTTTCTGTAAGCTCAAAGCATTCTCCAGGAGCGGAGAAAGTCGTACAGAGGTTATTACTGTGTATTTTTAGGTTTTATAAGTAGAGAGGAAGATTTCCTAGAATCCTGTGCAAAGCTTGTGCTTCCAGCAGTGCCTAGGACTTCCTGAGGGTTAAATGGTTAAATGCACAAAGCTGGATTTCTCCAGAAGAATGCATTGAAGCTTCTGGGGAGTCTGGCATGGCCAAAGGTAGTTGAGTTCTGGCTCATAGATTTTGCAAAAAGGCAACAGATAGAGAACTTGTGCCTGGGAAATGTATCAGGGTAACAAAGGGTGTAAGTAGTGCACCAGTCAAGGAAGCCACAGGAAGCTTAAAAACAAAGATTCAATAGCCTGAACATAATGTGGAACCACTGGGTAACCGGCTCCCCAAAGAGTAATGGAAGAAAGAAAACATTACAGAGAATTTCTTGTATTCTTCCCCTTCTTGTTATTCTGGGCAGGAACTGTCTCACCTAACTAGATACCTAATAATGAAGAAGACAATGTCGGAGCTAATCACGTTACACTCATTTCTTGCTTCTGCTATATGAACATTAAATTGTATTCTTCAACACCCTCCCCCCTAAAAACAAACAAAAAACTCTCACCACCCCTGCAAAAAGAAACAATCCACCTCTCTTAAACTATCTTCGTTGTAGTTCACTGGCAATTTGTGGCAGATATGACTCAATATTGCATTTTCCTGTTTTGACTTGACATCTTTAGCTCAAATGGATTCCTCCTTTGCTGTGAAGAGCAGTCTAGCCAAGCACAAGAGGCAAGTCACGGTCTGTAGAGTTCAGTTTCTGTTATTTCTGGCTCTGATAATCATTTATAGTGTAATATGGAATATGCCAGGCAATCTTCCTGGGCCACAGCCCAATGCCTCTCCACACTGGGGCAAGCAGACTTTGTGTGGGACAAAGAACCAGTTCAGATCAAGCAAAAAGGGTCAAGACACTTAAAAATGTTGGTCCTCCCGAATTCCCCTTCAAGTGATAACTCTGCCTTGGTGTACCCACAAGGCCTTCTGTGATTTGGAGGCCCTTTTGCCATATTCTTATAGCTATATGCATATGCAATAAACATCAGCAATTGACTTCATATAGAATCACTAGCCTGAGCTATGTAGATGCCAAAGATCGAAAAGAAGCATGTTCAATGCTATTGGCAAACCTCAGATCTATCTACTTATCCCTGCAATTATTCTAATTTCATTCTCATTGTTGGGGTAGTTGTTTTTTCAAGACTATAATTTGCATAATAGTAGGCCTTCCAAGAAAGAAGCTAACTGATTCAAAACATTGGAGAACCTATTTCAGATTCAGTGACTATGCATTTCTTCCTTAATTGCTTAACCTAATTTAAAGTATATTTGCTTTGCTGCAGAACTAATTTGAGCACAAATATGTGATAGGAAATTTAATTTAACTGCCAAGAAAGTGGCCGTGACCAAGAAGTTTAGACAGCTAGTGTTAGAGAATCATCTTATTTTCATGTACTTCCCATTACTTTTCTTTCCATTTGGTCCAAATTTCCAGCCTCATTCTGCACCTTTACATTGCTTTACCATATAGACTTCCAGGATTTCTTTGTAGGAATCCTGTTTAGTGTCAGCCATTGTCCTTAAAGATGTATGTACAGAGCTTTTTTGCGGTGATATGTACAATTGGAATAGATTAGCACATGGAGAAGATATGGAAGCATTTTGAAGAAGCAAAGACTTCTACACATCGGTGATCTACAAGATAGCACTGGTTAAGTGAATGTCGGTGTGCAGCTTCCCAGTGGATAGCATTTCCTTTTGCTCCTCCTAGTTTGGTTTCTATCAGCATGACCACACTGTCTATGGCTAGGAGAACTACTCTGGAAGTTCCATATGCAATATGGAAGCAGTTAGTGTTAAATCCATGAACTGTGTGATTATAATTTTCCAGTTATTTTTCCACATCATAAAGTTATTGACAAAATTTAACAATTGCAATTGACACTCACTGGAGTTTCTTTCATATTCAGCAAGGAATGAGATGGAGGGAGTGTTCCCAGGCGTTTTTTGAAACCTTCTTCCAGTGTCATTCCCCAGAACAGGCTGTAGTTGTCAGCTTTCCATCTTCCTCATAGACACAAAACAAACAAAACCCGTGTTAGAGATACTGCTCCCATTACAACCTTGCTCCTTCTTTATAAGAGCATAAGAGCACCACTAACAATAACATCCAGAAATATTTTTTTCAATTCAGAGTTGCTTAGGTTTTAAAACATTGTATTATATCTGCATGAGAAAATATTTAGTACAGGTTCTTCTAAGGCAGATCACTCAAGCATGGAGCAACACAGCGTTGTATGAAAAGTGGCGATTTGAGATCAGCACTGTGTTGGCCAGTAGCAGATGAGCATGCAATGCTTCAGACAAGTACTGGAAAATCAGATGCTCAGTGATAACAATTACTGTTGCCTTGAAGTTACGCTTACATTATGCTTCAGTCCAGATGCCAACAGAGAAATAATAGCTTCAAGCGGGCTTTTAAAGCTCAGGTGAGACACTGGCAAACCCTGCAGAAAGTCCATCTGGCAATGTTCTGCCTGGGTTTACAGCTGGGAGAAGTGGCCCCGTTGCTGTCTTTAGTTATTCTGTCCCTACTACTTTCCCTGAGGAGAGCAGACCAGACTTAGAATTTAGGGTTAACTGTGAAAACCGTAAACACAACAGAAAAAAGCTTGCAATTATACACATTTGGAACATATAGAAATTGGATTTATTGCTAGAAAATAGCTGATCCACAAGGGAGAACATTCTATTTATTCTTTCCCTTCTTGCCTGTATACGATGAAAAAAGAAGTACAATTCATGCTGTGCAAATGTGAAGCCTCATCACGCTTGATGTGCCTGTCGTCAGTGGAGAGTGTAAGCACCTGCAGAAGCTGAGCCATATTTCAGGCAGGCTAAACCACCCTGTGGTGTCTTACCACTGGTAAGAAAAAAAAAGGTGAAGGGGTCCAAGTGATCAATTTAATTGTCTGTCCTAACTCAGTTGGTTTGAATCACTCCCATGAAGTACAAAATGTTCCAGTACTTGGTCACAACTTGAAATGTGGGCACCTGCACAGGTGTCATTGGTGAATTTAGTGTCCCAGTTGCTAGAGAGGAAATCCCAGTATCTCTGTAAACAGCCAGCAGGCTCCCAGGTTGCTGCCCTCATATGGAGGGTTTTCCTGACACCTCTGCACTACTCAGAGGGAGCAAGAACTCGTAGCAAGAAAAATACTAAACCTGACAAAATGCTGACGTCTTGGACCCTCTTTGGCCCATCCTCTCCTCCAGTGCTACCCGGAGTCCTGGTAAGTACAATAATGCAGCTGGGTATAGAGAAAAATGACTTTATATCTGTTCTGAGTAATAAAAAAGGAATAAAGGAAAATTATCTAAACAGCATTTTAAAAGCAAAAAATTATATGAAATTTGGAGTACATTTTAGATAGACGTCAGCTAGATGCCTTTAAATAGGCGTCAACTGTTAACTGTTACCAGTGTAAGACTTTCAGTATCTTTCCATTTAAATCCCTATAATCTGCCAGAGATTTAAAAAGAGGTTTCATAGATGTTTGTTTGCTATCAAATCTGAATATCTCTTTTTCTACTCTCTGGATGGGATGTAATTGTGGAGGGGAGTATGCCATAACTTATAATTTGCATATGCATATTATGAGCTATCGAGTGGTTTACAATAAAACCTTAAAATAAAAGGACTCTCACCCATAATCTCCAGTATTGATGTGGTGAATTAAGTCTGGGCGAACAAGACAGACGTCATTTGAACACTTCCACAGACTTTGGAAGCATTTGCTGAAAGGGCAAGAACATCTCTGAGCAAAATTGTCGAAGGAAAAATATGCTTTCTAACAATAGAAAGAAAGTAGGGAGAAAAGCGTAAATGACACAAATGGCAGGTAGTATTAATAAAAACACAGTCTTACTCAGTGTTACTTCACTACTTGATGATTCCTAATTGGAAAAAGGTGGGAAGGTTTGCATGTTGTAGGAAATACGGTAGTGCCAAATTTTGTTTCCGTCTTGGTTAGACCCAACCAGGGAAAAAAAGAAATTTACTGTAAATTAGATGTAAATTAGATGTTTTTAGGAAAGTTTCATTTTAGATACCCAGAAAGGAACTACGTGCCCGTAGACACCTTGCTGCACAGACCCTGCGTCCAGACGAAGGCGACCGTGGGGCTCAGCTCCTTGGATGCAGTCAGAGCAATGTGGGGTGGCTCTGGAGCCAGCAGCCTGAGGCCGGGGAAAGCTGCTGGCTCTGGCTGTTAGCCTGGGGCTGGCGCTCTGGCATGCCGGGGCGCTGCTGCCTTCAGATGCTGCCCTCCTGCCAAGGAGGGCTAGTGATCTCTTGCCACTGGTTTAAGGCAGCTTTAGTCTAATTCTACAATACCTTAATACAGGACAAATCTTCCAACCATTCTGATTTGGTTGCACATTTAATATGAATTTAAGGACATTCACTGTCTTAATTCCTGTTCATGATGTATGCTAAATGAAATTCAATTTGCTGTTCTCTGAAATATTACCAGGAATTGCAGTTGTCTTTAATTGTTGTTCCTTCTCCGTAATATCGGCCATCTTTATAACAACCTGCCAACATAACATATAGATGCGTCAAAAACATAATCATTTTGAAGGGAACTAACTCAAAACTCTTGCTATTATTGAATTAACTGGTTGAATTCATTATGCATAAATTATTCTGATGAAAGATGTGAATAGCTATTTCCACTTTCTTCTATGTAATGGAGACAGTCTGATGAATTTTAATTTTTTCCTAGGTACATTATTATTCACAGTAAATAAAATCAGCAACAAAATCAAAGCATACACTGAAGAGTGATTATCTTGCACATAAATAGAAAGCAATTCTTCAAATAAAATTTTCTAATAATTTCAAAATAAATTTCTAATAATAAAACTATAACATAATACATAATTAAAAATAGGATCTTTAATAAGTTGTTTTCAGTTACTGATTTTTAAAGACTAATACCTATTCCAAACCTTTTGTAATATATTATTTTTCCTTACAATACAGTTTGTCCCTTTCTTAGTATAAGAATTAGATCAATTTGTTCCAATGCTACTATATGTTTCTTACATTTTCCAAAACCTAGCATAAAACTGGGTGACATTTCCACATAAATAAACTCCTCCTATTTTGTTTTCTTTCATTATACCTCACTGAGAAAAGATCTTTTGTATATTATAAAATTCTGCACATAAACTGATTCTTCAGTGCATTTCATAGTCAGAACTTCAGTAGAAGAAAGATAAGAAAGCCTGCAGAAGGCTTTGGATTAAGGCTATAATAAAGGTGGTACAGTTATCACATGGGGTTTTGTTTTCTAACCTTTTCTAATGCTCCCTCCACAGATTTTGGTGAGCCTATGAGTAGAGATCCTATTTCTTCAATCATTGAAAGAGTTTGGAACAAGGAACCCTCAAGTTCTCCTTTCTCCTCCATTTTCAGGCAGCTTTAGCCATATTTTATAGGACTGTAGTGTCAACTTATATTACCATTATATCATGACTTTTCTCTGACAGAACTGTGAGGAAGGCAATCCTTCTCTCAAGACAATGGGTGGAGTCCCTCTGGCCAGATATAGACATTTAGGCTATCTCAGCTCTCTAGATCTCCATTACCTACAAGAGAGAAATATGAGCTTCTAGGTCATAAATAATTTCATACTCAGGTACGCAAATTGACTAGAACGCATGAATTAATTATAAGGGTCCTATTTCTTGCTGTTAGTTATACAGGAGACTATGCCAGCTAGCTCAGATGTAGGTGAGCTATAGCCCCCCCCCCAAACAGTCTGAGGCCCAAACTGATTGCTCAAATTCAGTTTTTTTCTGAGAACGGAGATATTTTTCAGAGTACATCTAAGGCAAATTACTTAAGTCTCACATTTTTTCATAGTCTCCCACAAAATCAGAATCAGACAATAACTGGAAGGAGGCTTCAAGCAAGACATTTCATATATAGGAAGGAAAGGAAGTATTAATGCACTGTATGCATGATGGGATGAGGCTTCATCTAGGGCACTGCTGGCAGTTCTCACCACCCATTTCCAACAGAAAGTACAAACTTGGACAAGTACAGGAGCTTTCTAATAATGTACATTTAGGGAACTGAAGACTAGAAGAAGAGCTTCTTTAGCCTAGCCAAATTAAGACTTAGCTGGGCTAAGAGTACAACTTGGAAAAGTACTTTAGATATCAGTGTCAGAAAGATAGTAGACATATCTAAGCTAACAGAGACTGAAGGCATAAGAATAGATGGAAGCGAACAGGAATAAGCTGGAAATCACAAGGAGGGTCCAAAGCATCAGGGCACCGGGACTCTGAACAGCCTCCTAGCCAGAGTCATGGGGTAAATAAGAAATTAATTCATTTTAAGATAGAGCCTAATGACTTTCTGAATAGGATTATAGCACATGGAGGCTGTGATACGGAGTGGGTCTGATAAACCAGGGCTTCCATCCCAGCTCTATATTCCTGGCCTCCTTTGTACCGCTGCCAGGGTGAGATCCACTGTGCTGACTGACAGGATATACAGTCTTTTTTGTACCATCAAAGTAATTGAAATAAAAAGATTTAAAAAAAAACATAATTAATAAATAAAATTCTAAGGATTTTTTAATACCAAACAAACACACAAAAGTCCAGAACTCAGAAATCACTGGAAGCAAAGCCACAGGTGACTGAAAGATTACAATCTTCTAGGTGAAAAGTAATTTGACATAAGTGGTCTTCTAGTGCTTAAATAATTCCTAGCCAAAAGTTAGCTAATATACTTATGTCATTTCTAAAAATGCCTCATAGTTTGCTTAATCTTCAGACACCCAGTCCTTTTTTTTCTCCGTTTTTTCCTCCCAATTTCATTCTCTGTTCCCTGCTCCTCAGTCATTTCAGTTCTAGAAAGTTCCTTTAGTTATATTTATTTTTTTCTGATGCATTCTGACTGTTTTATTATTGTCTCTCTACCTTATAAATTACTTGTATAAAAAATATTCAATAAGCAGATTAAAAAAAGTGGTTGTCTTTCCATCAATGCAGCACTTTAACAATCAGGAAAAAAAACCCAGGAACTTGTTTTGAGGCAAGACATAAAAAATAGGGTATGAGCTCACATAAAGGACAAATAAAGGTGCATGATTAGATTAAATGTAATTGCTATCTACAACAGGCATGTACAACCTGCAGGAGTTACAGAACAGTGAATACATATGCAAATTTTGGATTAAGGAAGACAGCAAAAATAGTCCCCCTCACATAATTCTTTGTCTCCAAACTATCCATTACATTTTTACCTTTCAGAGGTAGACCTACCGCAGGATCCGTATGGCAGACTGCTGCAGATTTTGTAGTGGTTTGCTTCATTGAAACAGTTTGCAAAATTAGAACCTTAGGCTGACAGCTCAGGAGCAGAAATGCAGCTATATGTTTATGTAGAGCTCACTACAACCCCCCGATCTTTTGGAAGTTAATAAGCAACTGTGCAATTTAAATAAATATGAAATAAATATCTTTATTTACATAAATCATAGCACATTCTTTTAGATGATTAGAAACACTTTGGAAAGCAAATTTGCTTTACAGTATTTAGCATTTTTGTCACTCCCTGTTATGATCACTTATTAGGTTTTGGCTCTACGCCTAGCTTAAGAACATAGCCTTCTGAAGAGCTTGTGATCTGAGCGCTGATGTGTAAACATCAAAGTTATTTCAAAGAAGCAGTTAATTTTAAAAAGTCATGGTGATATTTGTGCTGATTTATGCTTTTAGAAGTTTGGTACAGTCATTTTTAGCCAAATTTGGCCTTTGAACAGTAAGAAACTACATGGTGTTAAAATCCCCAATTCTAATCTTTATCACCAGCAGTGATTTGGCCTATGGAGGAGCGAAGTGAGGACCAGCTGCTTGCAATCTCTACTTCTAAAAAAATAGACTGAGTTTACAGCAGTCCTGGAGGGAGTTCCACTGCAAGCCAACTAGTGAGAAACCGAAAAAGGACAGTATTAGATAGAAATCCCTGTTCTAGTCACATTTCTTCAGCTACACCTGCACCTGAGCCACTGGAAGGAAAATGATGTCCCACAGGATCTATGCTGGGTCTAAGCTACTACAGGATACCTCAGGCTAATACCATTAAGGATAAGCCTCAAGGTCCGTTTTTAACAATGAATACTAAAATTTGGAGCTTTTATTTTAATCTCATGTTAATCTGTGATGCTCTATTGAAATCCATGAAATTACACTAATGACCCAATGAGGTCATCTTATTTGGGCAAACTTCAGGAGCTCTTTCCAAAAAAGATATTATCTAGCTAACCCTAAAAAATATGTCCCTGGGGGAAAAGAAATAATAGCAACCCAAATTCTTACTCCTGTTTCATATCAATGTTAGTGTTTTTCCACTGTGTCTTTAGTCACATTTTAGCTGAAATACACTAACAATTAATATACTAAAAATTAATCAGTGGCTTTAGTTTCAAGTACATTTTTATTGTGATGTGCTAACGGCAGTTGGTCACACTCTCTCTACGTACCCGATGCTGGAAGTGGCCAACGCTTATCTGACCTAGTGTGCTCAACAGCGTTGTCACAGATGTCCCAGTAATCAGCACAGCAATCTACAGGGCCAGGAGGACCTGTGGTACAGAACTGATCGCAGTAGCACATAGCTGCTCGGGAAGCGATGTTAAAGCTGCAGCCATCATCTCTTCCTGCACAACAGCCTCGTATCTTGCAGTACTTGCCCTGGTACAAGCTCCTTTTCAGTCTGCTCCACTTTACAGAACTGTGGTCTTCAAGTGAGTAAAGTCCTTGTGAGAAATTCCTTCTAGAGTCAAGTTGCTTTGCCATCCAAACTTCACTTGCAATGCAATATAAGAGCAGTATCTGGCTTTTGAGCCACATTCTTCTGTTTCTAGAAGCCTTTTTAAGGCTTCCTATGCTTCACTTTATAGGTAAATGACCATTTACTGCATGTGCAAAACCTTCAGTTACTGTTCAGAAAGAAATCTGGACAGAAACTTGCAGACTACAGTTTTCTATGAAGTGAAGAATCTGTACGCGTTAATCATTAATCAGACATGTTGTAAATTGATTTCTTTGCCTCGGATAAAAAGATACTGGAAATAGACCCAGTACTATATACCCATTATTCTGAAATGTTGGGTGTACTCTTTCCAAGTAAGAAAGTTTGTAGTAAAACTGAGCTTTTTATGCAGAAGATACATGATCCAATATTTTAGTTCTATATTTTTAATTTCTAATATCAAAATAATATAGAGGATGAGTACATGCTGTCAAAGAAAGCTCTCTTTCCTCCTGGTTTCGGGGACCTGTAACCTATATATATTCCCCACATGATTTCAAGCTACATCATATTTAGGTTGCATTTGCTTCACGTTTTCCTTTTTGATACTCAGGGCTACAGACTGTTATGTTTCACTACAGTAAACAATCCTGGGCAACCTGATCTAGGTGACCCTGCTTGAGCAGGTGGTTGGGCCAGATGATCTCCAGAGGTCCTTTCCAACCCCAACTGTTCTGTGATTCTGCAGATATATCCTTCATCCTTCCTTTCAATCCTGTTTGCACTGACCAATAATATTGCTGCCTATAGAGAGTTAAAGGAATATACTTCTTCCATGGTTTAGTTGGGGTGTGCTGCTGGCAACTTGCTTCACAAAAGTTATTTATGAGCAGACAGGATTACCATAACTTTTTGAGAAAAGTATTATTTAATCAAATCATATCACTAGCAAATTGATGCCTTTCAAAGATATTTTTTTAAGCTTCAGTCAACAAAAAACTTGGAAATCTCTGTCAATAGGGTAATAAATGCCACTGATCAGTGCTCATTCCTATTTAAAAAAGAAATAGCAAAGTCAGCTATATTAATAAAACCATAAAGAAAAACAGACCAGATACCAAAAACATATCTAACAGCCTTTACTATTTGATTTGTGGTCTCCAGTGTTTGGACAGCAGACCTAAAGAAACATGCATGGTACCATTGCCAAAATGGTAAAAGATTCAGAAAAAAGTAACAAAGAATTTTAAAATTACTAGCTGAGATAGTATATAAGGCTAAATTGCAGAAAAATAACATAGTTTGACATATGAATAATTATAAAACAATTTAAGTCTTCACAGCTGAAAAAAACAGAAGTAAAAAACAGTCATTCTTATTTCCCCATTTTGCAGTAAATGAAAGGAATCTGAAGAAGTTAATGGCAGGCAGTTTTCAAAGGAATGAAGGGATTCGTTCCCTTTGTGTTTTCAACTGGACTGTTCAGTGCTTCAGAATTTCATTGAATTGAAGGCCAGTTACTTTTGAAAGAACAGCTGGCAGCACAGCTGGTTTGGGTGCGTTGCCACGAATGGCAGACCTTTTAAAGGGAAATGTGTGCGTGTGCGTGTGTGTGTGTGTGTGTGTGTTTATACATAAGGGCCAGTAATCCAAACTTTCAAGTCTTTTGTACAGTTTCTTGCCAGCAGTGCTTATATTGCACCTCCTCCCACACACTCCTTACCGCAGCTAAAGGACTGAGGATGATGGAAAATTGCATCAGATCACATGCTTTATTTTGCCCTTTTGCAGGCAATCTGTATGGAAGTGAACAGAAAGGGCAAGGTCAGCAACATGCAATCACTGTACATCACATAACAGGATATAAATCTGAGCCTTCACATTTGTTCTGTGTTTTTTGATTTGGTTTTGTTTTTAAGACAGAAAGGTGGACAATGTGCGTCTGTCGCTAACTGCTACAACGCACCAAATATAATTTAAGAAAAGTGAGAAAACACATATTCATGTCTCAAGTGAACTGCTCACCAGAGAAGATAATCCAGTTCTTTTCTGTATGCCTGTGTGGCTCCATCAGTTCCAATAACATGACTCTTGATTTGCATTGACATTAGCAAAATGTAAATGCTGTTTCTTATTGCAGAACTTTGGAAATAATGTTATAAAATTAAGTCCTTGCTCTCGTTAAGTGTAATGAAGAAAACAGGTGATACATGTGATGTGATGTGATAAATGTTATCAGCCAGTTAGGTTAAGTGGACAGCCCTATTCATGTTTTAAGTTACAGACCTCTCATTTCATTTGGTTTTGTTAGCTTTTTTAATCTTTTGCTTTTAAGATTTTCTGATAACTAAACCAGAGACAAAGCATTTGCTTGGAAGTGAAGTGGATTAGTTTGTACAAGAATGAGCTATCTTTTTGAAGGCATGCAAAAATGGAATTAGTACTTCTAAATAGCTTTGCTTTGTGACACAAGAAATTGTGCTGAATCTAATTTTCCCTTTGGTTAGCTTATGTTTAAACCTTAACAAAAACATGACACTATTTTGTTGTGGTTCAGCAAATATTTTGATTTCAGTAATTTTCTTTGTGAGCAAAAGTAGCTGTCACTAATGTACTGTGTAAAAGTCCACGTTAACTTATCCATAAGTATTTAAGAGTAGTTAAATGTGATCTTTTATCTCTATTGAAGTTTAACCTGTTCCAAGCATAACAGCTCTGTTAAGCTTTTGAACTATGGTCCTACTCTTGGTTCTAGTCCTTAGAGTTAAGTACAAAAATATCTGACTCATACCTTTCTCAGTACTCCCTGATGTCCATGCCTGAGTTTAAAAATACAACATAAATTTGGCAGTAATTCAAGTATTATTAATGTCATTGAACACTCTGTGGAGTAACAAAACAAAAAGCAGTAGAAATGACCAAGAATCTCTTTAAAGCTCAAGCAGGATTATTCTACAGCTGTTCTTTCAAAATTCTCTTTGATTTGTTTGAACAAGCCTACTGGACACTCTAAAATCTCATTTCTGATCACATTCCCAGTAGAGGTGAATATAGCAATGAACTCTGAGACTCTAGAAGCTCAAAGTCCATCTCATGAGCTTACAGTAGAGCCCATCACATCCGAGGACCTTAGTGACTTCCGCTGTGGGTGGGTGCTGCGAGTAGGGCTGGGGACAAGCCTTACACCCGACCCAGAGGGTGAATTTTGGTATTACTACATTGTGCTAGGAAAATGAAGTGACTCAAGGCCAGTTTAGCAGCTAAGGCAAGAAGAAAGCAGGATGCCAGCCATCATTGCAATCACTTCAGTCAGCAGATACATCACTTAATTATTAATAAAGTTGACTGGCTTCAACAAGGAAAAAGGTTTTTAAAACAAACCTATTTCCCCAATAATATTGTCTCACACTGTCTTCTCTCTCCCATGTGCTGATCACAGAACAGAATTCACCCTCCTGGATAACGAGTGACTAGATCCTGGACGTGTTCGCTCAGAGAAGACCTGAGCGTTAAAGTGATTCTTCTTACTGGCACTTTAGTCTCCAGGTATTTGGAGCAGGCCCAGAAATGGGGGTGCTTTCACCATTGCCTAAATAGACTTTGCATCCCACTCAGTGACAGCCTGGCAGCTCGCTGCTGTGTGTTGCTGTTACAGCATTGAGCAGTGCCACTTTTAATTCAAATGTTTCAAGGCTGCCTGTCTCAGTTCTTACATGCAACTCAAAATAGTGGTGACTTACATGACAAGTTTCATCAGATATTTAAGTACAGTCCTGCCACAGTGCAATTTGTTATATACAGCCTCTAGGACCTACGGCCAGACATTACTCAGTTACCAGGCCAGTGGAGTAAGTTCCTCAGATACCTAGATGAGCAGCTTTAGGGTCAAAAGCAGAGGCAGAGGATAAGAAAATGACCCCAATTGCCCTTATTAAAGAAACCCCATTCCTCACACATACAGATACAGACATACACAGGCATGTGAGCATGAATCAACAACCACAGGTAGCAGAAGATGAGTTTTGTAGGTATTATATGGTTCCACAAGTGATTGCTACACTTTCCTAGCCTTATCACGCTTCCTGCCATGGCAATTCATTATGCTTCCTTCCCACCCCAACTACATCCCCTGGTCAACCTTGATGCAGCACGTGCCATCTCATTCTTCTTACCTCCAGTCACATGCCAGCAACTCCCTGAGACCATGGTCAGCCCACTCTGGGCTCAGCTGAGTTAATGTATGGGAGGAAAGGGGGCTTGGGCACGAACCACCACATCATGCACGTAGTCATGTAGCTGCCGGTGCCCTCCTCAGCAGTCCTTCATGAGCGCTTGCAGCATGTGTGGGTAGGAGTCTCTCAGGAGACACAGTGGGGGGATGAAAAGCTTGGTGGTGGTCCCATCGTATCAAGGCCCACACATTGCCAATGTTGTGCTGTCAGTGCAGACTCCTGTGGGGAGATAAGCTGGGGAATGGCTGTGCATAGCTTCAGAGAAGTCTTGTTTTCAGTGAGTTTGCCAAGCCAAGATTGGTTCCTTACCAGCTAGTTGGAGAAGAAGGAGAAGGGGAGGACTCAAAAAAGCAACATCTTTCATTTTATTGCCAGCTTGAGTTTTCAAGTATAGCAACAACAGAAATACCAGAAACATGCACAGGGTACAATGATTTCTGTGTATCAGACTGCACATTGGCTTGTGAGAGAGAATGAGAGAAAAAGGGGTCTAAAAGCCCTTGCAGATTATAAACAGTCACTGGCAGGAATCTGCATTTACCAGAAAAAGAATAAATAACATTAAGGTAAAGGCAGCAAAACATGAACTAAACATATTTCACCACTGAATAAGCAGTGTCTATTATTTTTATAGTACTACTGAAAGCAATCAATTTTTTATGGCAATATTTGCTCTTCATAATCTCTTCATAAAGGATTTCTTCTCTTAATACACTTTCCATTAGTTTCCTAGGGATAGACTGCCTAGACTGTAATTGCCAATATACTCTCACTTTTCATTTATGGACAGAAGCTGTTTCAACAGATAGGGAAACTGTTTTTTAAAATACATACAAGCGAAGAAACTCACCAAACCAGAGGCCAACAAAGCGAATCCTGCATTGAATTTCCTGTAATTCTGGTAGCACTTTATCTTGACTGTGTTCCTTCAGTTTTTGGACTTCAGTCTGTCCCCTGGGCTTATTTAAAGCTAAAATATGCCATTCAAATAATTCTCTCAGCTAGACAGGCCAGATGGGATTTGGGCTTTACAAAGATGAAATTCATGAGATATAGATTAAAAAAAAAGTTGGATTTGGAAGAAATTCAGAACAAAGTCAGTACTTTAAGAAAATGGGCAGGAAAGTTTATTAAAACTTATGATAATCCCACAGACCACACTGGCTCTGGAAATTAGAATTCGTTCCATTTCAATATTTAACTGAATATAAGAAATGCTAATAGATCCTGGGTAGGCTGACCTGTCACATTTTGTACAATATTAATAACATATTTGCAGTGTAGATGTGTTTATACGTATGCATCTATGTTTACATTTTTTAAAGTTTTCAATACCTTTTTTTTTTTCCAATTTACCTATATCTGTTGATTTTTGTCCCAGCAACTCTTTCCTTAACTCATTGTAATGCTTTTCTCTCTCTCCCTCTTTTTTTCTTTTTTTGGCCATCTAGTTAACGAGTATGCTGTCCACAATATCTACACACTTAACTTCCGTTATTTTTCTCATGAGAGAAGAAACTAACACCAAAAAAAGCAACCCTTGTACGTCTATCAGCCTGTTTGTAACACTTTGAAGTATATCTGTGCTTCTGTATCAAAGGAAGAATGTGTATTTATCATCTATTTATGGAGACTCAATAACTGCTGAACTTCTATTTCTTTCTCACAGTTCCACAGTTAAAGAGTTTAAATGCAGGCTGCAGTGGATTGAAATGACCCTAGGTCCAATAGTCAAGAGGATGAGTACCCTTAAGAGCATTACATTTAAACTGATTTTAATGTTTTAACTGATGATAACGTTTCATAAAGTAGTTCATCACATTAATTTTAATGAAAGCAGCAGCACTTCTCATTAGAATAGTAGTCTTAACCTGCACCCTTACCATGTAGCAGTGTGTCGGCAGGTCAAATGCTGCTGCACACCAGGACAGGACTGTGACGCGTAGGTCCAGAACAGGTACAGGTGCGTGGGGTGATTCACAAATTCAAAGGATCAAGGGATCAAGGAGAGCAAGTTGACTCATGCCTGCATAGGCAATCAGCTTCCTCAGACATTTACCATGTATTTTGAAAGCAAACGGCTTAAGAACCAGGCTCAGACAAGACTCAGTGTGCGGAGGCAGCACAGGGTCAAAAAGTTAACAGCTTAAAATAAGAGGAAAGTTGGTGATCCCTCCCCATTCGCCTGCAGCAGCACCTAGCAATTGTGTCCGCACTCACGGGTTGGAATCGACGCTGGCTGGCCAAAAGGGCTATGAATATTGCAAGGCGAGGAAGAAGCACTGTGCATGCTGATTGCTGTAGGTGGTGACACCAGTGTGAATAATTCTTTGAGTGTTTCACAAAATGTAAGTGTCCGCATGATGGAAAAACATTACCAAGATTAACAGCTTGGGAACATACTGTTTCCAGGGATGCTGACATTCATTCTCAACAGTTTGAAATATGCCGAGCTAGATTTACGTAAGAAGAAGAAGAAAATAAAGAATCACAACAAACACTTTGCAACAAAAATACAGCTTTATTTAATTTCAATGTTTATATTATTTCTAAAGAAAATATGCTGAGTTATTTTGGGCATCTCTTAAACCAGTAAGCACTTCAAGAAACAATATATAAATATGCCATATTCATGTGTATATCTCTGGGGTTAATTAGTCTAGTACATATGATTATCTCTTAGAATATTTGATAGTTGTGATTGCTTTGCAATTAGTATACTAGAAGCAATTTTTTTTTAATGGTGTTTTAAACATTTGTATTGTGGATTCCCTCTCAGTGTAGGAACAGGCCTCAAAATCCTTTACGGTTTTAGCTCTGGATCCTAATTCAAGGCTGCAAAAGAAGAGTTTTCACATGAGCATGAGTAGTCAAAAAATAGATCCCTAAACTGTATAAATAACATGCACTTAGGTCAATTAGCTTTCCTAATTTATACAAACTGATGAGCTGTCTAATAAAGGTAATTTGCAGTTTCACAGAAAAAAAAAAAAAAAAGGCTAGAGGCAGAAATCTGAGTCCCCCTGTTTGTTCTACAGCTGTGAGGCAAGGTGACAGCCAGGAAACCAAACCTACCTTGTGAGATGCTTGCCTCTCCTTGCAGCAGCCTAAGGTATCCTGTTTGAGCAGTTAAATTCCCACATAGCTGCAGCTGTCCTAATCTTTAAACTAAATCTCCCTTCCTGAAATTTAGGCCCATTTCTTTTTCTTCTCTCAGGGAAGGTACAGAGCTGACTAACATCTCCTTATAATAGCTCATTATAAAAAGACAGAAACTGCTGTGCCTCTGCTCTGTCTTTGTTCCTTTTTGTTTTTGTAAGGAAACTGAAACCATTAAATCTTTCCAAAAATCTTTCATATATTTTCCACATCCACTATCGCCCTTTCTAAAAATGTCCACAATGGAACACAGTACTACAACCGATTCCTCACCAACACTGAGTAGAGATGAGTAATTACCTCCATTATATTATAAGCACTCCCTTCGACATTTCCCTTAAACGGCTTTTTTTTTTTTTTTTCACAAGAGCATTGCCTCTTCAATTCAGATTCAATTTGTTGTACCCAGTAACCCTGGGATTCTCTCCTGCAGTATTACTGCCATTCCATTCCTGCCTATGCTTTTCATTTTTCCTTGCGGTTGTCTTTATCATACTGATTTCAAGTCACTTTTCTAATATAACAGAATTTTTTTGAATTTTAATCCTGTCTCCCAAACTGCTGGCAAGGTCTCCCAGCTGGGCATTATATGCAAATCTGATAAATTTACTATCTATCCTATTGAGCAAGTAACTGATAACAATGTTTTATAGTACTGAATACTAGACACCAGCACTGTGAAAGTCTGTGAGAAATGTTATCCCATTTTGATAGCAAATGATTGTTCTCAGAGTCCAGCTTTCCAATCAGCTTCACATCTACCTTATGTGAATTTCATTTAGTTCGTATCTGCTCTGCTTCCTTGTGACTGTCTTGTGGGACAGTGTCACAAGATATGTTCTATCAGTCACCTCCTCTATATCTGTTACGCTGTCAAAGAAGGAAATGAGATGGACTTGATGGGACTTGTTTCTGACATGTCCCTGTGCAAGTTTTCTTACCTCCTCTCTCTTCTCTAGATGTCTACAAATGGATTGTTTCATACTTTGTTCCAGTATCTTTCTTGGAAATGATGTTACGGCTGACTTCTGTAATTTCTTAGATCTGCCTTTCCTCCTTTCTTAGATATGACATTATGTTTGCCTTTCCCCTGTTCTCTGAAAACTTGCTCATCCTGCTAAACACTAGGTTTGAGAAATTGTTTGGTTAAAGTATCGCAGGGTACATTTTATTAGGCTGTGCCGCCCCGAATACATCTAATTTAGCTCAGTATTCCTTAAAGTGTTTTTTTCTTAATCCCTCCAGGCTCCTACTCTCAAATTTTTAATATTAACTGAGTTCAATTTTGGCCATAATTAACCTTTTTTGGGGGAGACTGAAATAAAAAGGGCATTGAACATTTCGACCTTTTATATAACACCTACCGTTTGCCGAGCTGCCTTGTTAAGTGCTATTTTGTATCTACACTCAAGTATAGTGCATTATTTGCTATATAGTATTGTTTAACTCTAGCAAACTATTAATTTTAATCACACTGTGCAGTTATGTACTCAAGTATAAAATAATATTCATCTATTTCAATGACATTACTATACTATTTAATCCTAGACCACTCCTTAATTCCTTCCGCTCTTTGATTGCACTTAGAATTAATTCAATTTTTAGTTTTTTCTGTGATACTGAAAAGTAGAATTATTCTATATTAGTAGTTATTAATAGAAAAGCATTCACCAAACATAGCCAGCTGATTTTTCAAACCATAAATTGCATAGCTGAAGCATCCTATCATACTTTTTACACAAAAACAGACACAAAAATTTATTAAAGGACACTAAAGATGTAGTTAAATATTCAAAGTGTGACTGTAATCAAGTCATAAAAACAGTAATATTCACCATTACAGCTAAACAGAACCTCTTTCAGTGGCAGCCTGAAGAAAAAGGGAAAATGAAGAGTGAAAACCAAGTAGAGAAGAGAATAAAAACTGCAGCATGCTATATAGGCATAGTTTTACAAACATTTTACTGGTGGACAACTTCATACAGCACCTTCTCCTTTTTAAAAGACAATCTAAATTTATTACTTTGCTTTACTGAACTCAGTAACTTTTCATGTGCTGACATGTTTGAGGAAGCATATTGCATGTAGCAAATTTCAATAGACAAAGAATTTCCTTGGATTTTATGTGGCTAAATACACATTGGAGCGACATCTCATTTTGGGCTTCCAGTTCTTCTTTGTACCACAGCCTGGGAGCAAGGGGCAGGTGCCAACCTGGCATTCACATGGCATGGACTTTGTTTTCCTCTACCTTAGCAAGGCTTTTGACACAGTCTCCTGCAGCAATCTGGTGCCCAAAGTGAGGAGATGGTGGACTACAGAGTGGATGAACAACTGGCTGGACCATGGGGCTGGAGAGGTAGGAATCAATGGTGCAAGTCTTATGGGCAGCCAGTTTCAGATGGTGTTACACAGATACAGGGGTCAATACCGTTTAAACTCTCCACCAGTGACTGAGATGATGGAAGAACATGCACGCTGAGCAAATTTGAGGAGGTCACTAATTTGGACAGGAGAGAATGGTTGATGTGTTGGGGTTAGGGCTGCCATTCAGGGACATTTTGCCAAACTAGAGGAATGGGCAAGCAAAGTTCATCTGCTTAATGAAAAGCAGCTTATTTATTTGCTTAAGGAAAATCCAGCTACAATTTTGTTCTGACTACCTGCTCAGAGCAAGCTCTTTTCCTCTAAAAGTATTAAACATTACTCCTGCCATTATTTAAATGGAACCAAATGCAAAAGCTGCTTCTTACAGTCAAGTAGAATTAAATTAAAATAGCAGTTTAAATAGCATACTGATATTTCATAATTTTGCTGCATCACATTTGGATGGCATATGACCTTTTAGACTTTTTTAATGTAAACTACTTTGAAGGGTAAAGCATAGATTCCCTGTACATTTTTTATAGAGATCACATCAGAAACGAAATCCTATAAATGCAAAAAATGCTTTTTACTTGTTGATGTATAGTGATCTAATAATGTCCTGCTGAGCCAGTGGTCTATAGCTGAACCTTTTTACTTAAAACAAATAGTCACCAATGAATCTGGTAAAAGCTATTGTCCAAATACCCGCTGTAAATATAAATATCATGTTGCAAATACAAAGTATTAAAAAGTGTAAAGTGTTATTAACATATGAAGTGAATGTAAATTATTTCCATTGATTCTTACAGAATTCATTTGAGAATTTTCAAGTGCGCACAGTTTAGGCCTGCCTTTCTATTTATGAATATCAGAAGACTCTAGGTTATTGTTCCCCTTTAGTGGCGCATCCATTTATGAGGTTAAAGAATTTGCCACAGCTAACACTTGATACTCTTATTCTTTTTAGAATAAGCAGTAGATGTTCTTACTTGTAGTACTCACTTGTGGGCTCCTTAAATTCTCAATTAAATGAACTGTTCTGGTAATACGGAGAGAGCCTAGTGCTGCAGTCCTTGGCTGGGTCAAAATAAATGAAGAGCATTGAGAGTATCACTTCAGAGAGGGACCATTCATTTCGTTCCAGAATGTTTTGCAGAATTAGAAGTCAGGTCTGCACAGTTCTCCTTTTGGAAGTAAGTGACATCAAAGGATTTTTTAATTTGCAATAACCCAGAGCTCTTTTTCTGTATATTACCTCTGCTTTTTGCCTCATCATCTGCTGCCATATGCTACTCAAATCTCTACGCCTATGCTCAGTCAATGCAATGTTCTTTATGAATAACGTAATGCCTGCTACTTCCTTAAATAATTTATAAACTCTGCAAATAACAGTGCTACAAAGAGCAATCTGATCATGAGTCTTGAGAACAGGAATGAAGAGAGGCTTACTTTGTCACGGTGGACGATCCTGTAACATACATATAATCTTTATATGTAGAATCTATTAATGATTAATAATAATGTTGATCTCTGATCAGGAACACTCCTTAATCAAATAAAGATTAAGAGTAACGTATAACAGAACTTTGGACCTGACTGACATTTTCATAGAATTTACACTTTCAAGAAGTTTTGCTATTAAAGTCGATTACAGTGAAGCAGGATATATTAATTGTTTCCCTTAGTAAGAAAATGGAGCTTCTTGTAATGAAAGTCTCACAAATGACTCCCAGTGAAATCCTATCTCCGCTGAAGTCAACGGAATCAGCATTTCCTCACGGGGTCTTTTTATGAATGTTTACTTTACATGAAAAGATGCCAGATTTCAAATAATTATTGCAGGTCTTTTAGGAATAACAGACAGATAAGACAGAGTAACAGCTGCAACAAAAGATTATGTGAACCTAAAGTAATTGTATAATAGACTTGGGACTTTGCAAGTTACATATGAATAAAAGTAATGAGTACGTAAACCTAGCACCTGCATGCAAAAGCTTTCTACAACTCTACAGGGACATATGCCCTATATTCTCTCTAAATACCTGACTCAGTACAGTTCTGAGAGTAATTATAATGCCATTTGCACATCGTAACCTTGGGAAACACAAGGTTTACTTTAAAGGAAGACAATAAGCATTGGAAATTACTGATACATCTCTTGGTTAGGTTTTACAGGAGTATCCTCTAGATCTTCTCCAAGTAAAAAGCACTCATTGTAGAGGGACGTTTCACAGGGAGGAAAAATTCTTGTGTTTGTTTCCCTGATTTCAGAGGAAAGTGGCAGACCTAATTTGCTTCGTGCTTTTATATATATTAGTATGCAGAAACTAGCAACACCTTTCCTTCTTTCCCCTCTCTCCCTCCTTCCAAATGCTTAAGGAGATGATTACTTTTCCCAGAGCATCTGCCTATTATTTCTTTTTTTGGAATTGTATTAATCATACTAAATTTCTCTTACTGTCTTTAGCTCTGAGAGAGGAGCACTGGGGGAGGACAAGTTAAGCATGAGCTTACAAGTCATTTTAGATAAAGAAGAAGCTGTTGTTGAGGGCAGAGACTGTATGACAGGGAAACCTATGGTTCTCATTACAGCGTTAAGAGTAAAGTTGGCCTTATCACTTGACAGAATTTTTCCTAACCAGTTCAGCATCCAAACAGGATTTCCCTAGTAACAAAAGATGTTCCAACTCAGGTGGAGCTTTGCAGGTTATGCAAACTCAGAAAGTGTAAATTCAGTGTAATAGTTGCTACAGTCAAGAGAGGTTCCTAAATAAGAAGGAATGACAGAGGTTTTTCAGAGACATCTCAACAACAGAACATCCCAAAGAGGCCGCCACTTTCAGCACAGCTAAGAAGCATGCCTCAAATGTTTTGAGTTGCTCCTGGCTCTGTGCTGTTCTCCTGTCTATCTCCAAGATAGAGTAAATGTTGAATAAAGTCTCCATTCACAATATCCACATCGACTAATTTCTCCTTCCTGGTATCAATGATATATACTTATGTCTCTGGCAACAGATCTCACGGGAAATATATGCCTCTGTACACTCCTTTTTGACTGAAAATGAGCATAGAGGTTGATCTCAAGATGCACCGGTCTCTTCTCTGCCACTCCCTAGACATGGGAGGTTATTTTCAGTATCAACATTGCCAGCATGGTGCCCCCCACCATGTCATCCTGCTAAAAATGAGATTAAAAATTGGTTAAAAAAAAAAATAGATAGCACATCTTGTTCAAACAGTTTGAAAAGTTCATTGGAGGAGACATCCTTTGATTTGTTATAGAGAAAATAGAAAATGTAGCATCTCCTGAAATTAAGCTATTCTTGACCAGCTTATGCTGAGCCTGACACAATTCTTCCTGCTGTGTCCACACATGGACTGGAATACAGAATACTCATATCTGGGTATGGATATGTTCTATATATCCATATAGCTATTCTATATATCCATACCTAGATATAGAATGTGCATTAGTAACAGGGCTCAGAGCTTCCAGCACAGGTACTCAGCTTACTCAGCTATATTAAATGCTGTTGAGCATTTTTTTTTTTAAGCTAATTATTTTGCTAAAGTTATCGTAAGTTGTGAATAGCCATTGCCCAATAAGTTGTTAATCTAAGGAAATATGAACAGAACTGGTAACAGCCCAGATACAAAAATCTCCTTTCCACTTGATTGCCTTTGCCTTTTAAAAATGTAACCAATTTCATCAGAGATGAAATTTACTCTATAGGGTATCTACAAGAAATCAAATTTTTGAGTTGACGGTAGAAATGTTACAACCATCAGAGTACATATAACCTTTTAAATGAATTGATTCACACAAATTTTGTTCAAAGTGCTTGTTTAAAATGCAAAGGAACTTTTAGAGGACAGCCCTATACGTTTTACTTGCCTGGAACACAACACACTGACCTCTGACCAAAAGAATTTCACACTTCCAATGTCATCATCATCAACTTGGTGCATGACAAACCTCACATTTTCAATAATATCTCAGTCCATGTAGTCTGACTTCACTATTTCACTATGAGACGCTTCACTTTCAGAACTGGTCTTAACAGCTCCTCAGTTAAATTATGTGTTTTATTGTTTAAAAGAGTTCTCTTAAAAAAATCAACAACTCTTTTTCCTTTGGGCCAGCAAATCTCTCTCTCAATATGTAGTTTATAAAGAAGGATGAGAGATGGGAATCCACTTTCTTCTATCTTATCAAAAACAGGAAAAACAGCTGCATCAATAGAGGTTGCAGCTACTCAGGCTGCAACAAACATATGGTAAAAAGGTTTATCTAGATGTGATATTGACTACCTATATTTGTGCTTTTTTTCTCAAAGATATACAAGTATACGTATAGAACAGCATGTTTTAAAGGTTTATCTTTTATTTTGGAACATGAGTTTAAAGATATTAAGAGGGTAACTGCAGATATTCATCTAACTATCCCAGCACTCTAAAATACGTCTACATTTTAGAATGCCTGATGTACAGCAAATCTGTTTCATCTCAACAGCAAATTTATCCTCAAAGCTATTAATTGTATCTTTTCTCTCATCCCTTGTTACGAAATGTCATTATTGCAATAATATTTCAGAAACTTTATGGAAGAGATGGAAAAAACAAACTGTTTATCTGAGAAGCTCAGCAAGGCCAAATCGTTAATTCTCTAATTTATTTTGTGAAGCCACCCTGGCACTTATTTGAGACAGGTCCACAGTATATACCATAACAATTGTTTTAGAGAGAATCAAGGAGTGGCTCCCAGGAGAAAGAGTAAGGGGGATAGATAGTGTAGAAAAAAAAATCATAGGATCACAGAACAGATGGAGTGGGAAGAGACCTTTGGAAATCATCTGGTCCAACCCCCTTGCTTAAGCAGAGTCACTAGAGCAGGTTGCTCAGGACCCCATCCAGTTGGGTTTTGAATATCTCCAAGGATGGAGATGCCACAACCTCTCTGGGCAAGCTGTTCCAATGTGCAGCCACCTTCTCAGTGAAGAAGTGTTTCCTTGTGTTTAAGTGGAATATCCTGTTTCAGTTTGTGTCCATTGCAAGCAAGTAGAAAAGTCAAAGGCAAAGAAGAAGAGAGGAGGCTAGCATAAAGATTCACACAAAAAGAGAGATTAAGTAGCTCTGAGTCATTGACTGCCTGCCCATAAAGGCTGGGGGTGCCTATGAAAATAAGAGGCCATGTTGGTATCTCATATAGTCCTACTGCTGAACAGCAGTCCACTGATCCACTGGAAAATTAGATGTTTGTCTTTTTTTTTTTTTGGAACCTTTTTTCAGTGGGAACCAAGATAAACTTTAAGGATATACTGACAGGCCCTACTAACAAACTCAAAAGCCAGGCAAACCCTCTGCCTCCAGTATATGAAAGTCTTTATCTCAAAATCCCCTCAGTATTTTTCAAAACAAGTCACACATTTGGTAGTAATTATTGGCAAGCACCTATTTATTTAAATACTCATTCTGCTGCTTTTAGCTGGACTAGAATCTCACTTTAAAATGATAAATGAAAAATAAGCTATATTAATGGAAATGCAATTCTCATTCATGAAAGTTCTTACTCAGATTTTTTAAATCCATCTAAAAACTTGTGAAATAATTATGAGACTATGCCTGATAACATATGGAGGTCTAAGTAATAAAAATTCATTCTTCTGTTGTAATAGAACTCATACTGCCATTACTAGTAGTAAGTTATGCCTTTTTATGGGAACTTCTAAAATAATGCTGACAAATGTACTTTAATTAAAGATTTTCTATTATATTTCAAAGCCTACAGTAAAGAATACAATAGTTAACTGAATTACATATGCTTATTTCAATATTGAGGCAATAATTCCAATTCATCTTCATGACTCAATAATAAAGACTTGTCTGTGCCAGCAGAACCTTTTTAATTTTTATGCGCTCTGTCTCAAGGAAAAATTAGTAACCTGTAGGACACAGCTTCAGCTGTTACTGAGTGAATTATCTCGGACGATAAACGTTTTGATCCTAGAGCTCACAGATATAAAAGATGTAGGAAGCTGGCCACTGAATTTAGACTTACAAGAAGATTCAACCTATCTTCAAAATCAAATAAAACTGATACTGAATTTTGACACTGGGCAACTGCTGTATCTCCATGTGTGTTGTTATATGGTTTTTTTTTAATATTCCTTTATGAAATTCTCAGTAACTTATTAGCTTATGTCCTTCTGTAAGTTGTTGTGTCTGGTAGTTCAAATAGAAGCTATACCAGTGGCCGCAAACTGTGGAATGTGTGACTGAAATGAGGCTGACTGTATAATTATCAAATATCATCTGTTAACATCCCAAATATTTCAGAAAGCACATAGGAGAAACCTAAATTGTACAACATTAGTGTTTCCTCAAATTCATGCAAACTGCACAGCCTCCAAAGCAACACTATTTTGTTTGTTCATTAGTCTTTAAGAATAATTAATGCTTATCTAGTCCATGCACTAGACCAAAAGCAGATCTAGGAGATCAGTACACTTTTGTTCATCAACATTGCACATGCTATGTAAATAAAAGACAAAGTTAGCTATCATGCAAATACTTATACCCTTTCAATGTCAACGGATTACCTCCTCAGAGCCGAGTGTTTCATTTTCTGGAATAGGCACTATGGGATGACTGGGCTGCCGAGCCAAGACGTCGCAGGTTGGAGAGCGCATGAGGTTAAAAAAAGAAAACAAAAACAGTTGTCATTTCAATTTCAGTATAAAATATCTCAAGGTTTAATAAGGAAAGCCAATACCCTCAGCTACGTGAAAGGTAGTGAGGCAGTGGCTTCCTACTTGCTTTCAACAGGATTTGCACCCTTACTAGCCCTTTTCTGTATGAAAATCCGTTTCAAGGTATGGCCTGTTTTCTGCTTTACCGCATACCCATAATAAAAAGGGTGGGGGAAGGAGAAATCATTTTCTATTTCGAAAGAAGCATCTTAAGTCAAATTCGTAGCAAGGTCAAGTGAAAATCACAGCATATACACAATACACTTAGTGTGCATTAAGTTATTCATAACTGCAGTCATATTTCCACTGCTTTGAATTTCTGCCTTCTTAAATCTTCCCAAAAGAGCTCTCCTTAATCTTAAATTTCAGAGACATAAATCATACAACCATTTAACTAAAAAATGCTATATAACAGTAATTAGTATGTGCAGAAAGGAGTTCTACATCTTGGTAATTTTGCAATGTTTTTAGTATTATATGATTTGCATCTGAGTAATGAAGTTTGATGGATGTGACTCAAGTGAAGAACCACACCAATTTCAATAAGGTTTCAATCAAACATGGGCAAATAGGGTGCTTAAATAGGCAACGTTAAGATCACAGGTTGTGAGGTTTTAATATTCAAAGTGAAATAGAGACCTCATTTTTTAGAGTAAATGCCTCTGAAAATGTTGAGGTTTTAGAGCTGTGGAAAGAGAAGGCTGGAAGGAGCCAGCAAGGTACCACTGCAGCCCACAGACCCTGCGTCACCTTGCTGCCACAGCCTAGCCCTTCACAATAAATACAGGAGGTGTTTAACAACCTCTGTGGGAGATAAATGCCTCGTACCCCAAGCCAGCATCCTGCAGCTGCTAAGGCTGGGCGGTCCTCGGTGAGTCACAAAGTTCTAGCAACACCCAGGGACTTCTTGGCAAGGTTATTTCATGGAAATGAACTCTAGAAATGAATTACTTTTTGTCTCACTAGAATATGGCATATCCGTTTTCCAGGAAAAGTGATAAAGATTAATCACAAAGAGAAGAGAGAATATATTAATCATTTTCTATTTACTTTCTAATCTCCCTGAGAATAGTTCACTGCTTGTAAGAAGGAATAGAGATCTGAGAAAAGAGACCTGAGAAGGCAACAACTGTTTGTCTCAAGTTGCATAAAGAGCTACCCCATGAAAAATGCACTTTTATTGTGCTACCTCGTCCTGGCCTTTCTTCCTGGTACTCACTGTCTACTACATCAACCTGAAATGTCTCTCCGAGTCATGATTCTGCCTCACCTTGTTTCTTGAGTACGAGCTCTCAACTCCCTCCCTAGACCTGACAAAAATGATGATCTTTTTGTCCAAGACATTACTTTTCTTCCTTTATTTCGGTAACATCTTATTTTCATACTAAAGAGTCATGAATACCGTCATGTATAACAGTCTTCTTAGAGAGAGAAAATTATCTATATTTCCTGCACAGACACTCTTAATACTGAATACTTTATGAGGCTCAATTGAGGAAGACAAGTGAGAGGCAAACAAGGATTTAACTGATTAATAACAGAAAAAAGTCAATACAGACTTAAATCTGGGGGGCAAACTGAACAATATGGTCTTCTGAAGTCCTCTTTCACAAAGCTTTTCTCATGTAAAATCCCTCAAGAATTGCCATAGAAGAGTCTGTACAGTCTACTAGTTGGATAGTTGGAGACCTGATTTTGCAAGGACATGCTGCCTAACCTTAATAAAGTCACTTCTGGCTAGATTTACAAAAGACTTTAAGTAGTGCTTTAGTGAATATAGAGCACGTAAGCCTAGTCCCTCCAGCCTAGCATCCCTCCTGCTGGAGTAACGGTCAGTGGTAGAGGTCCCAAAATGGAGGTTGTCTCTTTTTTTCTGGAATCTCACAGCTCTGCCTCTGAGTAGCTGTGCAGGAGCCGACCAACTTGGCCTGGGCATTCAGCTGAGAACATGAAGGCCTTTTCTATGGCTTATTTTAATCAAGTGACAAAGTACTCCGATGTGTAACTCTTGCGGTAGAAGAGGCCCCACACTTGCCCTTCCACAGCTTAACCAATAGGAGCTACAGGATGTTATTCCTTCCTCCCTGATTTTTCCTTACACATATGATTTTTGTGTTTTTGAGTGCACACTACTCCAGTCCCACAAGCAGGATGGAAAACGTTGTCTCAGGGCACTTGACTTCTGTAGCTCAGCAGGTAAGGGCCTAACTCTTTTGGAAGAAAGAGAGAAGATTGAGCTACTGCAGGCTAAGAAGGGCATTAAAACCCGGTCTCTCACTGCCTGGGCAAGTACTGAAAGAGAGCATCATAATCTGTGCTCAGCTCAGGGAGTTCAGAGGACGCTTAACAGAGCTTTTAGCCTAAACAATTAAACTCAGCCTCTTACCTGAATCCCAGCAGAACTTAGGGCCCTAAACAGAGGGAAAAGACGCCCAGAGTATGAAGGTCATCTCTCTGCAAAGATTGCAATCAACCGCAGAGTAATCTGCTTAAAAATACCAGAAATGCAAAGTAGGAAGAATGAGGTGGGCTTAACTGTTCCTTACCAGACAATGTGTGACTTGCTATCTCCCCTCAGAGATGTACAGGAATGTGCCCATGTCTGCAAGATCTGAAGTGTGAATGTAAGTTATTAGACTATGGACTTTTTACTGATGTGCTGCCTTAGTGAGACCTCGTCAAGCACTGTCACTGGCAGTCCTCCATCCCCAAGTTAAAGCCGCTGGCGAAAGCCCTATGTTTTTTTCTACAAATTTAAAAGGACTGCGTCTGTTTATGGCTGAATATGAGGACATTATTTTTGTAACTTCTATTCTTGTTTCTTTTGCTAGTTATAAAATTTGGCATTACTCTTATAAGGTTAAATTAATTATTCTTAGTTTTTCCAAATCTTGCCTAGTTTTCTGGTAATGTGACATTTTCTTCACTATTTATAAGGACAGTGAAAGAGCAAACTAAGCAAATCTGTATTTGTGGCTATGAAAAGTTGTACTGGGGGTGGCAGTGGCAGAATATGCTAACAATATATAAATATTCGCAACATGTAAGTTCAAATGGAAATTATCTACCTGGCCTAAATACCCTCTTACAGGCTCAGCCAAGGCTCAGAAAAGAGATTGTTATATAACATTTTAGTTAGACCTTTGTTCATTTAGCTCTGTAGAGTAATCAGCAAGACATATTTGCCTTTAAAAGGTCAGTTTATCTTTATTGTGCTGTGAATCACAGCTGTCTCTGAACTAAGACGAAGCTTTCTGAAGTGTTCTCAGTGTAAGACCTTTTTCATAATTCTCAGTCACTCTCTAGAGGGTCTGCAACCTTTGCTAATTAAGACACAGGTTTAAAACTCTTTGTAACCAGTGAGAGATAATGTACAGAAGAAATAACAATATTTCAACCGTAGTAATTAGAAAATATTCCTATATAAGCTTTTAATCCACTTTGAAAATAAATGAGGTACTCTAGACTCTTATGAAACATAGCGTCAGTCATCCTACTATAGGAAATAAACCCACTAATTTTTCATTAATTCAAAGACTAAAAGTATTTATTTACACAGGCATAACAAGCAAACTTTTTGTACAAACTCATTTTGCAGATAACCGCTTTTTCCAAACATAAGCCCATGAAAGGCAGCGTATAAATGGTAAAACACCTACAGCAGCAGAACAAGAACGACCTCCAACTAAAGAGAGAGAAAACATAAAAATGGAAACAGACCGTTTGTAATTATGACACATGTAGTCTCTCTGAAATGACGCTTTATAAAATCAACTTCAAAGATTCAGTCCGTTAAGCAATCAATTCTTTTGTACCTTTCGTCTCGCAATAAAGTGAAATATAACGTATAGTGATCACAGCAGAAATTTATATTGTGCCTTCAGCAACAAAACATGCTGTCTGACTCACAGATCCTTATTATACACCACTGTTTCTGTCCAATTTTTACCTGAAGATTTCAAAACTCTCTCTACACATCCATAAGTACCTGCACAAGAGGGATCCCCCGTCACAAACATTATTCTCTCACGTTTTCTCACAGGGCAATACCCACTAGAGGGGATGTGACTAAATATTTATATCCACATACGAGGGTCTGCAGTAGTTACAAGATTTTGCAATAAGGATTCCTTTGAACATCTCAGTAATACAGGTAAACACTGTTTTCTTTAAATCAATCTATAAGTAAAGGGAAGTTGACCAGAACTAATTGTATTTTATACAATAGCTTTTTAGCATAGCTAGAAGTAGAATTAATTAGGGCCATATTTCAGAGTACCCATTATATCAATAGTTGTAATAAAAGTTAAGTGAATTCTAATCGTACTAACTTGTCCTTTGAAATACAGAATTTCCAAAGGTTCATCAGATTTCACTATGTCCTTTTCCTCAGTACCTCTGAGGAGTTATTTACAATCTCTAGAAACATTGTGTTCAGTGAGGCCTAACATTTTGAATTTTTCGTTTGGAGTTTGTGGGTTTGAATCTGCATCCTTTTTTTACTCTCGGTTCTTCAGCAAAAAAGCATACAATTCCCTCTTTTTTCCCTCACATAGGTCTTCTGTCCACTAAATTCTGTTTGACATTTTTCATTCTTTAATATATTTTTGCTTTGGCTGTTAATAATGATCTTTAAGAGTGGTTTTGTTTTTATTACTATGTTACAAGAGACAATATTTCCCCAGAATGCAGCTCTCATTTGAGAAATCATTTTTATTAGAGATTAATTTTAATATTTCTATTTTCTGTGCTTTCAGATTCCCTTAGAAATGGAGTTGTACCTCTGTGGATTAGGACCTTAGCATTAGGAGCAACTTCCAAGTTATGCCAAGTCTGGTCCCATCAGCAACAGGCACGTCATACAATCCCCTGTGTAATCTGACTGTCAGAGACACTGGAAGTGG